TTTTTTCAGATTTGCCAACCAGCGTACTCGGTGCAAAACCGCAAAATAACTTTATGGAACAAACAGATTTGCGCTGGCGGTGTTCCGGGCAAAGACTCTTGCAAGGGCGACTCCGGTGGGCCATTGATGTACGAGAACGGTAGACAATATGAAGTCGTCGGTGTGGTCAGTTTTGGCCCAACGCCGTGCGGTCTTCCCGACATTCCGGGCGTTTACACCAAAGTCTACGAATACCTCGACTGGATCAGGAGCACGGTCAAATCATAGCTTTAATTTCGAACGTGAAGTGCCTATGAGTGATCACGATTGGCAACCTCTTAAGCCATATCAATGTTTACTGGCAATATTAATAACATGATGACAGTTGGGTTTAAGTCGCCCGTATGTCTGTTAGCCTAAATTAATAAAACTAATAATGGATAGCTTAAATTGAATTGATGTTATCGTGTTAAATTGAATAAAAATAAGAGAAAATGAGTAGCGTATAAATTAAAGCAGAGAATTATTGGTTATTTTTTTTTCTAGACTAGTTTCGATGAAAGTCTACGGGATTTTATTAATTAAAATTTACTCCTATATTCGACAGTCGTATATTACAATCGTTGCATTATTCTCTTGCACATGAGACGATCCTGCGAAACTAATTGTGATTTGTGCTTGAAATCAACCGTAATTAGATTTTGTTTTCATAAGGTCTAACATTTTTTTGATTAAGAAGATGAAGGACATATTTTCAATGTAGCCTTAATTAAATTTGCGGTCCAGTCAAAATTTCGAAGTGGTTAAAGTACTTAGTAGTGAGGTAGTGCAGCATACGCTACAAAAAATGTACTGTAACTTCAGACGACTGACAAAATTCAAAAGTACTGTTGGAAATATCAAAAAGTTCATCATTACTATATTTGAATCTGGAGGAAGAATATGTGAAATCTGGTCGAATTGAAGAACAATAATTATTGTTAAGCGCTACTAAAACTCTATTAAATAATTTAAAATGTATCATTGACATGTCATAACGATCTCATTCTCTGGATTCGAACTATTCTGTTGGTGTTTATTTTAAGAACTACCTTTGTATTTTGATAATTAAAACAATTTACGTTTTCGAGTATGAGTCTTATTTGAATAAGTCTATACTTAGTCTGGCCATAAATACTGTTACAATTAAAAATAAACAAAATATTACATTTGAATTTGGAATCTGTCATTTTTATATGATTGCTCATTGAGTTTTCTCATTTTGGCGCCAATACATTGTACAATATTTTGCGATATTAAAATGGAGTGGGGTGATAAAGACCGAAGTAGTGAAGCCCCTTAACAACACCATGTTCAATAATCAAGAATGGTCCTTCCAGCAAGACTCGGCACCAGGTCATAAAGCTCGGTCTACGCAGTCTTGGTTGGAAACGAACGTTTCGGACTTCATCAGAGCTGAAGACTGGCCGTCGTCTAGTCCCGATCTTAATCCGCTGGATTATGATTTATGGTCAGTTTTAGAGAGTACGGCTTGCTCTAAACGCCATGATAATTTGGAGTCCCTAAAACAATCCGTACGATTGGCAGTGAAAAATTTTCCCATGGAAAGAGTGCGCGCTTCTATTGATAACTGGCCTCAACGTTTAAAGGACTGTATTGCAGCCAATGGAGACCACTTCGAATAAGCTTTTTATACTTTAAATTGTTTTATATTTATGTATTAAACTAACACACTGTAAAAGTAATAAATGTTATTTGCATAGATTTTTTTTTGTTTTCCTTTGTAACAGTATTTATGGCCAGACTAAGTATACACAAACTTTTCCGATACAATGCGACCATTATTACTGTTTACTATCGAAAACCGCTGCACAAACAATGTTTTTTAGGTATTTCCTGAGAGCTACAGCTACTTCCTCATTTGACTGCTGACGGTTGACGATTAAGACACCATGTTTTCCAAAACAATTACGCTGCCAACAAAGGACGACTTCCGCGATGGGTATTACATCGAATACAAAAAAATCATATCCCAAGTCTGCTCGAATCTTTTGCTTTTACACATATTCACATTACAAATATTCTCTTTATTACTGAGGGTAGGACCTCTTGTCAGTCCGCGCGGGTAGGTACCACCACTCTGCCTATTTCTGCCGTGAATCAGTAATGCGTTTCGGTTTGAAGGGTGGGGCAGCCGTTTTACTTGAGGCCTTAGAACTTATATCTCAAGGTGGGTGGCGCATTTACGTTGTATATGTCGCAGGCAATTTGTATGATTCCGCCGTTTACAAACGGCGTCGTCATTATAAAAACGCTCGCCGCTATGTAAAATGCCGAAGGCAAAATGATAACTCGTTCAATAGTTATAATTTCGACATTGGTTGTAGTTTTAGGGTGACCATAATAAAATGCAGTTTATAATAATCAGACTTTATTTCCGTAATCAGGTACTAATGAAGATTTCAAGTAAGACTAAAGGAGACGGAAAATCGTGGGCCAAAAATGTAATAACTTGGAATGTAGTCTAAAAAATTTGTCATATTTTTTTATATAAGAATATAAAAAATCACCTCAATCCTCTTTCTGGGACCGGAGAAAAATGAGAAAGTTAGTTTTTGTCGGTAAAACGGTATGATCGATTTAATTAATCGATTACAGGATTATAAAAAGAAAAACATTGCACTAGGTAATTAATGCAAAGTAATTAAATGAGCGATTTATACTTGTTATATACAAGTGCGGTATGCGCCGGATTTAATTGCGATTATATACATAAATGAAGAAAAAGTCTATTATTACTTAGCAAAGTAATATGATTATCGATTTCAAATCGATTAAAATCGATTGTATTTTTGATGACAGCTTTGACAGTAAGCTGACATGACGTGTGTTCATAGATTATACAATTATTTTTTGGCGCTTGTTGGTTTTTTCTGCTCTAAGTACTCATTTTGTATCTTCAACGCATTTTGAGTGTGTATCTATCGGGCTGTTTTTATATTTTCAACAATCACTGCTTTATTAATACGGATTCCAACTCTGCCAGCCTTGTACGACAATTGCTTCTACACTGGATACCGAAGATCGCTCACACGTTTGACTTGAAATTGTTGCATTGGATACTGTTGAAATTATGGATCGCTGTGTGAATTGTGGGATAGCAATTCCATATTCTATACCTGATATATATCATTGATATTCATTCATAATATGACATTTAAAAGATTATCCAATGGATATAATAAACATTTACTTATGCTTAAATAAGTTATTATTCAGTTCTTTTAAAGAGATTGTAACATAACCTAACTTTTACTAAATCTTTATTAACTCGGCTCTCAGATTGAGAAAACTTTTATAATTTTCAGCAAGGTACTGATAAATCTGAATCTATTAATTCATATTAGTTTCATCACGTTACATTCGGGCCCAAAAATGTATGTAATCGTTTCAGTCTCCTTTAATTATGTGCTTTGGTTCTCTTAAAGTACTTAGTTAAAATATTTAAGTAACAAAACAACATTTAAATTACACACTTTATATACTCATGATAATAATAAAACTTCTAAGGATAATATGACACTTTCAAATAAAACAAACAGGTCGTAAGTAAAACCATATTATTTTGAAGTTTGAAGTATTCATGGTCTTGACTCTGCTCATTAAAATCTCGAGATATAATCGGTTTAACTACGATACCTTTATTTGATATGTTACGTTTGGATTCACAAACAGGACATAACGATACGAA